TTCTGCCCCCCCCCCCCATCCTCCTCACATCTCTGACCCTTTGCCAAGAAAGTCTATTTGTGCTTTTCTGGTTAAATCTGACTCTAACTTTTTCATTTGCTCTCGTTTCCTGGGCTCCTGCCATCTGCCCAAGAGAACAACTCAGCCTGCGGGCGGCATGACGGTCTGTCAGCTCCAGTTTACTGCATCCGTGGCGTGCCAGGGTACGTGCCAGCGTGTGGCCCTGTACCCCAGCACCGTGCCCAACCAAAGTCCCACAAATCTACCTGACATGCCACCCACATGGATCCGCCTCCTTTTCATGGGGCCTGTCATTTTGATTTTGTGCCCTGAGGAGGTATCGCCCCCTTTCCCCTGCTCCCCCGCCCCCCCGCTCAGTGATCCCGCCTTCACCCTGCAGGTAAGATCAGGCTCCGTCACAGCGGCTGGCATTGACCCCGCGAAGGTACCAGGCTGCACCTTCTCGGTGCAAGAAAAAAAAAGAAATCCAGCAGGAGTGGCGAGAGGAAAAAGGCGCGAAAGACGCCGACGGATGTCGTAAGTTGTGGGCCGTGGCGCCGCCCTACAGGCTGCCGATACGCCGCATGTCTCCCTCCATGCCTGACTCGCGCCGCTCACGTGGGGCGCTGCAGCTAGACACACACGCCAGATGCATAGAACCCCAACAAACAGGCTGCAAAACACAGATGCAACCACGGGTAAAACAGGAGATAGCCGATCGGAGCAGTGGGTAAAATCCACGGCTTGGATCTGGCAGCGCTTCTGAATATTTCACACCGTTCCTTTTGACATAAACAACGCTGTCACCGTGAACGTCGAAGGTCCACATGAGCCGAATGACTCCCGTTATTTCTGAGTCAGAAGCTGGGACATCCTCAGATGCAATTCAGCACTTTCCGTGCATAAAAAGCACAAACCGAATGTCATTAAGAAAACTGCCCTGTACTCATTTTCCTTTCAGTGACCTTACTGTCCCCCCGCCTGCCAGTCCCCCCCCCCCATGCTGCACAGATGAGCCACTCCCCTGTTTGTTTTGCTCTTGTGATCACAACTACCCACCCCCCACATTCTCAGGGTGTCTAAGTAGAAATCGATGGAGCTTTCAATGTCCCCCTCCCCATGCCCCACCCTATTTGCGGTGGCCTGGAGTCGATCTGGGGGGATGCCAGAGGCCAGAGCTGGCCACACCACACAACCCCCCCCCCCAGATTGTAGCACGTCTTCCCACTCTCGGCATTAATGACAGAGTTAATGTGCCGTGACGACGCCCACAGGCTGGATGCAGAAAGCGCTGGCGTCCCCTGAAATCGGCGCACCATCCGAGGAGAGTGAAGGGCGCGGGCTCGGACAGGCAGGGGGTGGGCGGGGAAGGGGGGGGGGCATAGGGACAGTAAATGCGCAAATTGCTTCTCATTTTTCCAATTTTCTCCCATCTGTTCCCTGCACTACGCCAACCAAACAGACAACCTTTGCCTCGCCGCTAAGAACTATTTTTACACCGCAGCGCGACCAGATCTATCACTTGCAATGTTTATGCAGCGCCGGCAGAAGCCGATCCCCCCCCCCCACAAGAGCCAGCACAGATACCGGCCGCTTTCCATCCCTCCCCATGATAAGGTCTGTGTCACCCTCCCTCTCCATCCCTCTCCAGGCCACCATGGGAGATTGCGCCCCAGGCAGCAGAAGCAGCGGAGTAACACGGCTCCAAACCGCCGCTGCCCTTTGGAGAAACACCAGCGAAGTTCACGCTCCCGACCAAAGTCCACGTCCTCCGGTCACTCTCAGAAAGTTTGGCTTAAAACATGGCTCAGTCTCTGCTATGACGGGCTACTTTGGCAGTGTGAGGGATACAGAGTAGGATTTTTACTCCAAGGGTTATGGATTAGAACTCTCCGCTAGATAAGATTACAGTTGGGGGTGTCCCCTGTCCAATGCAGTAGCTCTGGCAGGGACACTGACATCCCTGGCAGTTTTAAAAGTGTCACAGGCAGCCCACAGAAAGAATACCTGCCCATTCAGACCCTAAATACCTGCTCACTCCGTCAGTGCTGTCCTACCTCTGTTCAGAAACACATGCACATTGATCAAAGGAAGTTAAATTACTTCCTGGATAAATGGATAGGTTAAACGCGTTTAATGTATTTAAATCAGGGTTTAATGTTGCTTTGGATTAGAAAATTTACAGTACTTATGCCATTTCTGCGTGACCAAATAACTTGCAGCGGTGAGGTCTGAGTGATTGCGGATTAATTGCTTGGTCACATTGTTGGCTCCACCGTTTATTGTCTGCCTGGTGGATGTGAGCACTCCCAGCTCTCCGGTAAAGCTGCCCGCGCCCCGCGCCCTCAGGCGCTCCCTTCTCGGCCCTTCCCTCACCCTCAGCAACGCTGGATACTCAGCCGTTTCCCGGGGGAATTACCGAACAGGGAAAGTCGTTCATATGGCTGAACATGGAGCATATGTGGCCGGGTCTCTCCTGTCATAACGCCATACACTGGCAAGTCTCTACTTAAGGTCATCATACAAAGCAACGCTTTACCTGAACTCCGTACCCCGGGGGCTTCATTAGCTGGTGGCTGTTTTTAAGACGCTGATCGGGAGCGCCTGGGACCCGACAGCCCGGTGATTCCGACACCTTCATCCCGGTCCCTTCACTCCGCTCCCCACACGAAGTCTCTGTCACGCCGCGGTTATCTGGTCATTATTTCCGTGATGCGGGATTTGAGGACTAAAATTACAGCCGTAAACGGAAAGTGAACAGGGAACAGTGATCCGCGTGAGTGTGACCTTACACAATTACCACAGGGCAATGGTTCGGGTTTCCCTCTGATGTTTATTTAGATAATCATCATAACGCTTAATTGGTCATGATTAACTTCACGCCACGCTGCTTCGTCGTACCTTAAGCTGTTTTGGGAAACAAAATAGTTTATTACTGCTTATTGCGCGATTGTATCCCAAAACTCAGCTATAAGGAAATTATTTGTTTTCACTCATTTATTTCTTGTTTGATTTGTCCCCGGAATATAAAGTAATACGAATCAAGTCTCTTTACAGGAGTGCTGAGATGCTGAAGTAAGAATAGTAAAACAGAACATACGCCACAAATAAAACTCAAATGTTAAGGTTTTATAAAAGATCACTGCAAAGGAAACAGCCGAGCGCAATTAATCAAGCGGTTCGGACGCGGCGGTAGGGATCCAGCCCGCTGGTCGAGGTGCGCTCCTCGTCTTAAGCTGGAAGAGCTTCAGCCAGGCGGCAGGGTGCTGAGATCCAGCATCGCTCTACCTCCGTGCAGCCCAGAAATGAGCAGCTCGGACACTGCAAGTTGCGCTTTCACCCACCTTTTCCGGCTCGGACGGCGCACAGCCCCACCGCCAGCAGGAGCGGCAGCAGGGATGATCGCAGCATCTTCCCGGAGACAGATCAAGACAGGGCGCGATGACCTCTCTCCTACTCCTCCTCCCAGCCTCCTTCTCTTTCCTTCTCTTCGGACCTCTTCTTCAAATTGCCACAAGCTGCACTTTTCTTTCTTTCTTTTCTTTCTTCCTCTCCGTTCAGTAAAGCTCAGGTGATGCTCGGGCTGCGGGGTGAAGCGGAGCCGGGCGATGGCGCACCGCACAGCCGCTGCTCGCTGGCATCTGGCGGAGCGGCACCGCGGACCGGCGCACCGGGACCGGCTCTACGTCACTGGGAGGGATTTATTCATATTCATGTGGAATGCAATGGCTATCCGTTAAAACGTCCCTCTCCCTATTTTCCTGATTAGCATCTGCTGTTATTGTCCAGTGGAGCTGCCTGACACTCTCACACAGCGGGTGTGGTCTCGGTTGTAGGTAGCCAACTTTTAATATTGTTTACCAAAATGTTTCACTATTAGGCCTATTTTTATTACAATCGTAATCGAAAATAAACCACCAATTGCGTAATTATTTTTCAAAAATGATTCTTCATACAGTTATTAGTCTATTACTAGGATATTTTTGACTTAGATGCCAAGGTTTGGTATCTATAAATCTCCATTTCCTACCGTTCCACATTTTAACGGGGCCCCGTGTGTATTTATGCGGGATACTTTTTCACACGTCTCTCTCTATGTATACATTTAGAGCACATCCAGTTAATGTGGATCTCTCGCCTTGATTTGTTCACAGTGCACAGATATAAGTAAACAAGTATGAAATCTCAGTTTAAACTTCGCTGGAGTGGTACCCAGCCAGAAATCCGCATTGGCTTGTAGACACTCTATATTGTAATGAAGATGGATGGAGTGAGAAGGAAGGTGGTAAATGGAGAGACCAGCTCATTGAGATTGCCTTTAAGAAAAAGGCGAGTGCTTTGTGTATTGGTGGCATAATGAGTGTTTTGGCAAATCCTTGAAAAGACGCGTTTTTCACTGCAAACGGCGCATGTGCCTTCTCACATTCACATGGCATCCTCCTGATGTTGAGAAAAAAATCATTTGTTTCTACAGCTCATTTGGGACAGTAAATGGCAGTGGAATGTGAATGAATGTAGTCAGTCTGGTAAAAGCACCGGGAAATAAACTCATTCAAAAACAGTACATTTTCGGGGCGGGATAGAGAAAATGTAAAATTAATATTTGAAAAGCATGAACATCTATATTTATTCTGCATACGATCAGCAATGAAAAACTAATAGCAAGGGTGGTCGGTGGAATTGCAAATTGGGAAACAAAGGCATTTATATTCAAACTGATCATACATCTTCGGTGTCAGGCTCAGTGTCGGGATTGAAGGAAGAGGATGACTGCAGTCTTGCAGGTGGCCGATAGGGGGCGGGATCCATAAAGCGGGAGAAAGCCTGACGAAACGTATTTCTGGGCCGCTGTAATGTTTTATTTTGTTTCCCGATATCGTTAGCTCTTTCACTGACGAATATCCACATCTTTCATCCCGGATGGGAAAGCAGCGTTACAATCATAATGATATATTTTGCTGGGCTTATCCTTTTTCATCCTCTTGTTTGTAACAGTCATTTTTCATGTAAGGTTTTGTTTTTCACTTAGACGCTAACTTCACAGGCCTCCTTTATCTGAGGTAGTATGTCCTCTCTTGTAATAAATCTTTCCTTACCTCTCCAGCTTTCAGTTTTTTACAGGACCCTCCTCTGTCCTTGCATGTCCCCTGACCAGCTCCCCCCCCCCCCCATGTTGGACGCTGAAGTCCACCACACACAATGTCTGGGAATCACATACCTGCCGTCGATGACTCCCAGACATCCTGAAAGCCTCCGAGATTTTGCCTTTTCTGCCAGCCCAACCCTTTTCGGGGGCCCTAAGTAGAATGTGATTGCCCTGGTTGTCATCTGTCATCTTCCTTCCGGTTCTGACAGGCGGATCAGATGGAGGTGAGTCTAGTGGCCGCTGGGCCCTAAGCAGCCTCCTCTTTCGCTTCTGCCCACACTAGCTTAGCCTCTACTGCTCATAGCCTGTCCCCAGCAAGTGCTCTCCCCCCCCCCCGCCAAAGCTAAAACATGTTGAACATACCCTTGTCTCGTTTACAGATTTGAGGGGGGGGAGTAAAGAATACGAGTGGATGATTTTGTCTCGCACCTGGTTCCCACGTGTAGACCTGTTAAAAAAAGCACTTTGGATTTGCCCAGATTTGGTCACCTTTCAGCATCTGCAGACTCTGACTCGGATGGGACTCCCCGGCACCGTAACATGTGCTGTTCTTGCGGAGCGCAGCAGACTAATGACAGGGCTGCTTTCCGCAGTGTGATCTGGAGATGACCAGTGAGCCAATGGATGATTATGTGTGTCCTTCCTCCTCCTCAGATGGGACGCGTGGTGGTTGGCTGTCCCCTTAGCAAGCGGCTGAGAGCCCCATCCTGTCAGGCCCTGGCCTCCTTTCCCTCTCACCCCCCCTCCCCCATGGGAAGCCAGATTTGAGTAACTGGAGCCCTCTGTGAATCGCGCCCGTGTCAGACAGGCGCTGTGCCACAAACGGCCGAGTGTGTTTTCCAGTGACGTGTCATAGCTCACAAAATACACTTAGCTGATGGCTGCCATTTAATGTATCACAGTACGACTGCGGGGTGATGTTCAGGTGTGCGAGGGCAGGAAGGAGAAAAGAGGAGGACAAGGAGGAGAGCAGGGATGCCTGGGCTCCTCAGTGATCTCAGAGAACAGACCCACTATATGTAAACGGCGTTTGCTCTTTAATACTTAAAGGCATATCTTTTCTTTTTTCGTCACGGCGACAGAATTGATTTCTTCATTTCATTAAGTGCGACGTTTTAAATCCTTTAATATGGGAACACTGCAGACTTCTCTCTGATGTTTGATGAAAAACCGCCCTCAGCGCCCTACTCCTTTCTATAAAGTATCGATTTCTATGAACCTTGGGGAGGGACAATGGTGGCCTCGGCGTGCAGAAGCGGAGGGAGTCTGAAAGGCAGAATTATTTCCAGCTCTTTTGAAAATGAATTTCCTCGCTGCCAGATCTGGGGGAGAGCATGTGCGTCTGTAGTTCAGTCCCTGCTTGGAGAAGCAGCCTGTTAGATCGTTATCAGGAACCTTCCCTGACCTGCTTCGGTGTACGTAGCTGTCCCTCAGCCTAGAGTTTTAAAATTGTAGGTCAAAGCTGCACGTGTGTGCAAAGCGGAGACTCTGAGCTCAGGTTTTCGGCTCATGGCCACTCAGCCCTGATTAACGACGGGAGGTGACAGAAACATGCCATCGGCCCAGTAACACATTTAAAATTTTACAATCCATGTCGCACTAATTCCCCCCAATTGTCACACCACTGAGGCCACCAGTCATGTCCTCAGAAAGGACGGATTGCCCGCACCCCATGGGACAGTGATGCTTGTTAGCTAATATGCATTGCCAGTTATGAGATATTTTAATAATTAATCCTGATTCTATTTAAGAGTGCGTCAAGGACAAATGGACATTCCTGCTGCAATATTTCTCCTTTCAACTCGAAGAAAAGATGTTCCCTTCCCCTAATAACAGCCCACAACCCTGTCAACAAATCGCTTACCAATTCATTATATTTTAAATATCTTTTCCCTTTTGCTCTGGTGGAATTATTAAACAAGCAATTTCTCCATTTTACTTCAATGAATGCTGAAAGGTCAGATTACATAGGAGTAGCATGTCAGCACTAATGTTTATTATTTTTTATGTGTAATAGGCTGTCTTATTTTCATCTGACAAGGACCAGCTCTGCTTAATAGCGCGCTTAACGAATGTGGTCAGAGTGGGTTATCGGCAGACCGCCGATTGCGAAATGGCAAGTTCTGACAACCTTGAAATGAATTTATTTTTGCCGGATGGAGTGTAAAATAAACAATGTTTAGAGGAGTAATGACTCAGCACACAGAACTGGTTCTCTTGCTGAATTAAGGATATATCTGTGTGTGTCTGTGTGTGTGTGTGTGTGAGCAGGTTTACCTATCCTTACGGGGACATAATGTCCCCATAACGTGATAAATATCAGTTCTTTTTCCCTTTGGGGACCGGTAATCCTTATGAGAGGTCCCCATAAGGATATGTTTACCCTACATGTGTGTGTGTGTGTGTGTGGTGTGTGGGTGTGCCCTGCAATGGGTTAGTGCCCCATCCTGGGTTGTTCCCTGCCTTGCACCCATAGCTTCTGGGACAGGCTCTGCAGCCCCCCCCCATGCTGAATAGGATAAGCGGTTACAGGAGATGGATGGATGGATATAAGGCAGCATAACTGCTGGGAGGCCCCTCCCTTTAACTCCAAGGGGAGCGAACATGGCGGCCATCCTCACTCTCACCAGCTACCCTGCCTTCATCAGTGCCGCTGCCCCCTGCAGGCTATGGCCTGAAAAAGGAGCCAAAGGCGTTACTCAGAGTGAGTATCCACTGAGAGGCTGTTAAACTTACCAATGCTTACAGGTAAGGTGGTACATTCTTAGTTTCCCTGGATGGGCTGTGCCAGCTGCCGGCCAATGGCATTCCCCCCCTTCAGGGGGCGCTGTGTATGGGTGACCTGGGAACTGTGCATATGTCATTTATGGCAGTTTAAAAAGTATCCAGCTTCTGACTGCAGTACATCCTTAAATACTCCAGTGATTAATTGACACTTCTTTAGAATAATGTACTTCATTTTGATGCCACTTGACCAAAAGTATCAATATGTGTGTGTTTTGATTCTTCTGCATTCCACTCCATTCCTCCAGTCAAACCTTAGCATTTCAGACCCCCCCCCCCCCCCTCACACACACACCCTTCTGTCAGTTAAAAGGCCATTAAATTTGTGCAAATACCAGTGTAGGGCTAATTAACCTGTAATGCTGTAACCAGGGTGCAGTAGTTACGGTCTAATGAAAGTTTTCTTTGTTTTTTTCCGCATTCCCAGATTAGGGTCTTTATCATGGATGAATATTTTGTGTTAATTGTTAGCACACTTTAGCTCGCTGCACTTTAAACGCTCGTCTGCCGAGAGCAATTAGTCTCACATCCATGGCCAACAAATATTAGTCCTGGCTTAAAGGCCACCACAAAGAAGCGAGAGATGCTATCCGTCCTTAGCATTGCTTAGCCAACTAGGTTGTGATTTAATTATGATGAAATTAGTGAGCTGTCGTGCCACTTAATTAGCTCTGTGTTTACGCTTCACATCCAGGCTAGCGGTGGCACCTTTAGCTGCTGATGCTAAACCCAGGCTTTGGCCT